TGGCTTCTCTGACATAGTAAACTTGCTTGATAGTGCACCCGGTACAACAGTGAATTTGAGAAGTGGCGCTTTTGGAAACAAGTCTAACTATCCGGAAACTATCCGGTTAGGTTTCATGTAAGGTTTAGAGTCGATTGTACATTATTTTCAAACACAATAAAGTACTATCCTTGGACATTTCATTACTGCCACTATATGTACAACAACTAACGTAATAAAACATTGCCAGATCCACGTTCATCTGTTTCTGATAAAACTGAACATGCTTTTAGCGCCACCCACTGGATATTTCACTTTGAAATTATTGCGAAATGTGCAAGAAGCAACATAATTTATGCAGCAATGTTGCCACAGTCATGTTTTTCCACTGACCCTGGGTTGAGTCAATTATGGTAATTTTAAAAGCATTATTAATTTTTTTCTCTCTTGTTATGTTTAGGTGGGAGAAACCGCTGTGGGAGCAATAATGGAGGCTGCAGTCACCTGTGTCTTCCAAGCAATAAGACCTACATCTGTACTTGTCCTACTGGCTTTAAAAAGGTGGACCACTATAACTGTGCCCAGAGTGAGTACTGCTCGTTTAAGTTATTTGTCCATGGTTTATATTTATCCTCCTCTCGTGCTACAACAGTATCCCTTCACCTTAAGGGTACAGTAACATGAGAAGTGCAATGCAAACTTCCAGAAAGTGATTGTGTGCGTTTTTGTGTCGGTACCTCGAGGAGCCACTCGCGTTCTGGGTAACTGTCAGAAAATCGAATTGCAAATTCAGGAAGGTTTACTGAAGTATTGCTGAAAAAATTTTGCTTTTATGGATACAACAGCTTGTTTTACCCTTAAAGATACAACTTTGTACCTTATTTATTCGTAAAAGTGCATGTTAGTAGCTTTAGAGTAAACTGTATTTAAATATTCAGGGTAACATGATGCATTCAGATTTTTAAGTCGTCTTAATAGTTAGAAACTTAAATACTAAGTAACACTATATTTTGTCAATTTGAATTTGTTAGTTCAGTAAATGCAAAATGCCTCATTCAACCAATAAATTTACCAAGACAACAGATTTCTTGTTCAGC